GATAATTTTGAAATGATTTACTATTATACAACTTTCTTTTTTTCCCCTGATCGTATGGTTTGTCGTTACATGAAATATATAGTATAATATACAGTAATGGTAATGAGATAACATATAATACAATTTATAGTAGATATGAGTAATAGTGGTTAAATACTACTAGTGTAACAGATTAAGATATTAATTGGTATCAACGTTGCAGCTTCTTTGTCTGGTGGCCCTGAACAGGGGCAGTTTTAAGATTAGATTGAATTGAGTTGAATTGAGTTGCATGTACCTAACTAGGCCGGGAGACCGTTAGAACTATTACAAATTGTACAACTTTTATTAAGTTACATAAAAAAATGTAGCAACAACATTTTTCACAATTCGCCCGGTTAATATATTTTGTAGCATGGTAAGATGCCATGACGAATAATTTTTTATTTGTGTTGTCAGCCATCGCAGTTGTATCGAAAAAATATTGTTGTCAAAAGTGTAGCTGTTTAATAACCCTCAACAAATGTCACCGTGACTGTTCGACTTTTTATACAAAATTGCACAATTTAAGTTTCGAAAGCAGATTGCATTCTGAAAAAAGTACAAAAAAAAAATAATATATTTATTGTAATGTGGCTTTGTAATAACACCACCTACAATCACTTCTTTATTAATAAAATCACAATATAATGATGTGTTATAATACATGTTGTACCGAGGCAGGTACCAAGAAACCCATTCCCAGTAAGGTGGCTTCTTATCTAGCTTAGAGTTAAACTAATCGTATATTGTCTCTGGGTTGACGTACGATTTCAGTCATGTCTCATGTTTGCAGGCAAACTTCTTGATTTTAATCAATAATTTTAACGGAGATAATTTTGTATAAATACATTATGTTGGTATTCCTGTGTATGACGTATTCCCACTAAATATTAATAAGCCTGTTTTCTGAAATCTGAATTTTACAATATTTCAAAAGTATAAAAATGTCCAATGTATTTGTATACAATACAAACAATGTACATATAAAATGATTACCAATAATGTACCAATGTAGTAATACATTTAAGTAGGTACTAGTTAAAATTACATTTCAAGTAGCAGGTTGGAAACGATTTAACGCGGTGACTAATTTAATATCATAATTAACAATGTAATAATAATTAATTTTCTACTCTTTAATTCCAAAATTTCGCTTAAAAATTTTGGAAAAACCATCCAACCTCATCGATTAGGTTAGGTTTTTCCCAAAACCCATAATACTATAATATAACGTTGGTGAAATATTATATTAGCAAGTATGACTGTTCTTGTAATGCCGTGGTACTTACTGGTTTGTGTAACCAACAGGTGTATTTCTTTTGTTTGCAATGCGACAGTCTCAGTGAAAAGCACTGTACGTAATGTAAGAAAGTTATATTATAATATCTATCGTTAGGTTTTGTACAACAGTGAAATTTGTACTAAAACCATAAAATCGCTTGTTGTATACGTCCAATAATAATAATAAATTGCAATACTGAACTCGACTAGCTAAATAATATCTTAAGGGGTGAAATAACATAACAATTCATTCTAAAAACCTTAGCGATAGTCAAGTACGATGGTTAGGTACAAAATAGGGCAACGTATGTAAATATAGAAATATAGTAAAATTGCGTCAAAACCATTATTAACTATAATAGTCCCAAAACTAAGAAACAAATTGTTCCCTTTACTGCAGATAAAAATGGTTTAAAATTACCAAAAAAAAAAAAAATCTTGCTTAATTTGCAAATTTAAAACATATTAAATGTTTTTTGTAAGAAACTCGGTTTTAATAAATGCTCTTTAGTCAAGCATTTCTTTTTATACTTTTATATATGGTAATCCTTTTGATATAGGACACTCGTTTTCTCAAAAAATATGAATATTTTGAAAATAATTTTATTCCTTTACTTGTAGGCACATATTTTACTAAATTTTTCAATACTTTGAACATTTTCGACTCATCGCTAATACGCAAAACAAGTATGGATCTCGTTTTTTTACATGGGAACATACGTTTTTAATTCCATATGACTATGTAGACGAAAAATTGAAACATTGTTAATTTTCATCAATCGCGTTGTTTGCCATTATTTGATTGTAAAAATTTGAGTTTAAAATCAATATTCGTTCGGGTTTTACAACAGTAGCACAACAGTTTCACAAATTCTAAATTTGAAATTTGGAAAACCGAAGACATAATATGATAATAATTATAAGGGGAAATGTAATATTATATTATTTGCAAAGCCATAGCAAACGAACAGAATGATAAAAATTCAAACGCCAAAATTTAAAAACATTTAAAAAAGTTTGTCTACATATTAACGGAATTTAAAAAAAGCCAGTACAGTGGGGTCGGGGCATAGTGGGGACGGAGAGGTCACGGGTCTACAGATTTTATTACAACTGAAAGTGATAAAATCACTTTTAAATAAACGCTTCGATGCGAATCTGTGGATAGTGTGTTCAAACCAGTTATAGCGGTTTAGGAGATATCGTGGGGCCAGCAATAATGTACTAAGCAATTTAATATTTAGTCTTGTGCAGGGTGGATACGATAAGGGTTGGTCGTCTTTCTGTAAATATGTACTGTCATAGTTAGGTTACCCATTTATCGTAATTAACAATATAATGAAAATATTTTCATTACCTGTTGACTGTTGATTCACTCACGCATAGCAACCTAGAAACTGACTACGGCCAAAGTGTAAATTTACCCTATTTTTGGCGTTTTTTCCTTAATAAAAACAAAATTTGATTACAGATTTTTGAGAAAGTTGTATATGTTCCATCAATGTTTGTCGATATAATTATGTTCTAAGAATATTATATACAAATTTATAACTAATTGGACTATCTTTACAAAAATAAAGTTACATAAGTAAAAAAACATGTACAATTTTTGGTAGTTTTCCACATTTTAAAGGAGAAGGGATGAACTTTTTGTATTTTTGGCTTAATAAAGTACCTTCCAGGTATGATTTCCGATCAAATGAGTTGCTACACAAAGAAATAATAAACGAACACCTATGCACAATATATATATTGTATAATTTTGTATTTTATTTAGCGACCTTAATTTAGAATAAAACATCTTGTAGCCTGCAACTGTGAGTTTGATTATTTAACAGTGTGACCGCCCGTTCTAGCTCCTCGGGCGATATAGTAAATTAATAAGGGAGACTTTAAGGCCACTTAGACGTAGACAGCGGTCTAGCCAACCGTTTTCTGTGGGGATCCGTCTATTTTAGCCTTATCGACGGCCACTCACGGTTATAATCTTTACTATGCCTTCAATGGCTATACAAAATTTGCGCTATTCGCTTAACCTTGACGCCTTTAAGTACACCGTATACAGTTTTGGAAAACGGTAGCTTTGTGTACGTTGACTATGTAAAGTTCATCATGGTACACTTTATTTTTATTATTTACAAACCATATTGTACGGAACGCAAAGAAAATGGGAATTAAAACTACGTTTTTTTTTTTTTTAGACACAGAAAATATTTTAAAACATAATGTTTTTATATTTTGTTGAATGCCCGCTGGTTTTTGAAAATAATCGTTTGCGGAATATATGAATAATAACTATTAAACATTATAAAACAAAAAATATAAATTGAAGGTAATATATTCGGTCAAAGAAAATAACAGTGCTAGGTGTTTTTAGCCGGGTAATATTTCGCATCATGCGAAACACCTGAGTATATATAAGCATTTTACGACATTTTCATACATTGGTGTGCCTAAGCCCAAAAAAAACCATTTTTTTTTTAAATATTCCTACCAAATTTCAGTAATAAGTAGGAAAAATATACAAAAAAAAACTAGCTGCAAGCGGGTGACAGAGTGCAATGTATTTTTACGGCGGTCGCAGATTCCAAGGGAGGCCTAGCTATACGATTTATACAATTGAATATACAAGCAGAAATTAGCAAAAGTCATAAAAATATGCTTATGATATTTTCCACGTTCAAAAAAAACCTGTTTTTTCTATTGGTTCTCGTGTTATCGATTTCGATCATTATTATTTATTTGAAACTTTACATCAGACAAGAGGAATGGCACGGCTGCTAGTAATACAGGTCGGTTAAATAGTATACACATGTTATCTTTTAGAAGTTAGAACAATAACTTGATCGCGATTATGACGGTTATGCTTAAATCGTCATATTGCCTATAAATGTTTTTACCTCTATGAAAACCCCAGATAAGAACAATCCTCGAAATTAGCAGACCGATTTCTTTGTGTAGCAAATCAATAGGCAGATATCATACCCGTAAGGTACTTAAATGGACCAAAAATTAAAAAAGATCATTCCATCCTCGTTAACACTTAACGAATTTACATGTTTTTCTAATTGGAATTACGGTGCTCTATATTTTTTTTTTTTTAATAGTCCAACTAGTATGAAATATTCGTTAATCTTGGAACTATTGAAAAATATTGACATACCAAAAAAAAATCATGATCCCTTTCCTCTAAAAAATAATATACATTTTTTCTTTATTTCACTTTTTCAAGAAAAGTTTTAGGGATTTAGAACTTAATATTGGACTGATGGTAGATCTAGAATAAAACAAAAACATGTACAATTTTCTCAATAATCAACATGATTTTTGAGGAAAAAAAAAGACCTACCTATGTCGTTTTTGAAATGACCAATTCAATTATAAATTTGATGTTATGTGTGATTAGATTATGAATTTAAGGTATTACTTTTGCATAAATAAAATGTAGTACTGTAATAAACGGTTTGTAATATTTTATTTATTTTCGTATTTTTTTATTATAGTTATAATTTTTAATACTCTTTTATATCATCATGTGTGTATTTTTTTAATTTAGATACATTTAATTTTTCATTTTTCATTGTAGATATTTTATAGCTTCATTAACATTTAAAACGTACAGGATCCTGTTCCATGTATTGGACCGAATTTTGTGTTTATCATCCCGCCGATCTTGAGTACACCATCGTCCCATTCTATTAGTAATGGCCTCTCCGTTGCATTAACTCCTGGACTACTTTCTGGTCGATGTAGAGTGTATCGCCTTTAACTGTTAGGCGTTTACCATCTACATGTTGGTTAATTTCTGAAACGTTTTAAACAATTAAAATGTGATACGAGGAATGATATTAATTTGACATCGAGGATGAATTAGACTTACCACCTATATAACCATGGTATCTTTCCTGATAAGTTGTTTTACCACCAACATTAACCGTCCTGGTGTATGGTTGGTTAGACGAGGATGAGCCTACTCCACTACTACCAACTCCGTGTGTTCTCTTGTTTCGTTCTTGAGAGTTTGTATCAATTGATAATGGTTGTTGTAACTGCGTAAGGGTCTGTGATTCTTCTTTATCTAGAAACGTTTTTAATAATTAAATGTGATGAAAGGTATGATAATAATTAGACTCTGAAGACAAATGAGACTTTATTGGACATTAAACTGCGAACCTTTTAAAATACTTTTCATTTTATGCAATACTCGACCCAATGCTGCATCCACTTCTACTTCGTCGAATACTTCTTCGCTTATTGGTTTACCGTCTACAATTAAATAATAAAATCGATGTAGCAATCACTCAATTATAGGTACGTTTTTTCGATTCTATCGGTACTTGAGTATTGATTGTTAAATGTTATTTAAATTATGATGTTTTCACAACGAGCACAGTCAAATTAATGGTTAAATTTATCCAAAATAACTGACTAGGTGACTGATGCCCATAAACCAATTAAGGCCAAGTATTAAAAAACTACTGAAAACCATTTGGCCACAACATAAAATTAAGACTATACTATCATCACATATAAAGAGATTATAAATCGGAAATAATCATTATTCAAGAGCCACCAGAGTAAATCATGTTCTATGTTTTCTAATTTTAGCCGTTAGACTTTAACTAGATGTTAACTTTTCTGTTTTTTATATAGAAAAAAACTAAGCCGGGATAACAAACACAATGTTTCTATGATAAAATTGTTGACTTGTACTGTTTAAATTTTTATTTCAATCATTTTTATTGATATTAATATTTTTGTTGTATTCAGAACAATGAACTAAAATTACACAGTTTATATTTTAGAAAAAATGCTATGGTAATTTAATAGTTTTTTAGTATATTTTTCTCAGTAAACGGTACCGATATATAAAGTTGGAAATCTTTCATTTAGGTTAAATACATAAATTTAAATTTTTAATCATGATTATTTTAATTTAATTATAAAAAATTAAATTAGACATGAAAAACTGTTTTAACTTTTACGTACGAAAAAAACTTATTTGTGATTAAAAAAATAAGCTATTTGTTGGTATATATGCATACATTTTTTAGTGACTTAAGTAATAATATTTGTAAAATTCAAAAAATAATATTTAACGTTAATTTTACTTTTTAAAACTTCTAATTTTTCAATGAATAATAGCAAATCGACTAATAAACTGTGTATAACTTGATTCCGTAGCATAACGACTTTTTTACCTGAAGTTTTTACTGTTTTCCCCAAAACTAATAAGTTAATAAAAATTAATTACATTATCTTAACCAATCGAGTATTAAAAATATTAATCATAGATATTAAATAAATTAATCATAATTGAACAGTGGGCAATAGTTTATTTGACATGATTGAATAAGTTAACAGTAGTTAAAACAGTCATTATTAAATGAATATATTCCACTATAACAGATTATTTAATCAGAATTTGAATAGTTATAATATGAATAGTTAACTTTCATCTTATAAAAATGTATAAAATTAAATATAGTGTTTAAATAATGCGCAACTCTGACGAAATGACGCAGAAATTTATTTATTTATTTTTGAGTTTAATTATTTAACACCAAAAATTATCATGTAACACACACAATAGTCACTATAATATTATACTTTGGTTTATATGTATACTTAATAGTATTAACCATCTATAATTATTTCCCATCCAATTTCAGTCATAATATCGCCTATAATAATTACTAAAAAGCCTATAATCTCCACGTCACCATTATACTTTGGCCCCACTATGCCCTGAACTCTTTTATTTTTATTTTTTATAAAAAAAATTTTATTTTATAGTTACCATTTTTAGGTAGTTCATCACTGCCGCCACCACACCTAAAAGCCAACGTTTGTAGTTAAAATAAGAACACGCGAAAACTTTTTTCAATTTGAAGAAATATTTCCAAACGCTTTTAAAAAATAAATAGAAAAAATACTTACGCCACGAATGCTGCCAGACTAATCAAAAGAATAATTTTAATGTGTATCATATCAACTGTTATAGTTTACGGTTTAATTCGGGTGTACTAACAATTTTACTGTTTTCAGTACTTCTAGAACCAAAGTGAACGATTGTCTACAACTGACTGAAACAAAGTTTGGGATACGGACGGTTTGAATTTCTTTTGCACGAAAAAAAATCCATATTAAAACGAGTATTTGTTTTCGAGACGATACAAATGTCTATAATAATGCCCGAGTTATTTATGAGCATCTAAGAAACATGTTTTTCCGTATAATTTTTGACGTTCATTGTAGTGTGAAATTATTATAGCATAAAATATGTGTTTGCTTAGGGCTTTATATTTTTTGAACAAATTTTTAGTCAGATATCTTACACAAACCGTACTTCTAAGGGACAAAAAAAAAAGACTTCACTGCTTACTTAAATCAGAGATGTTGATGCATTTTTAATAATTTATACGTTTAATAGCTAAAGTTATTTATTTTTTAAATATTACATATTTCTATTTTAAGGAATTTTATATTGAGGATGGGCTTTATGCTTAACGTAGTAGCCCAATAGTACAGTATAGCAATGATGGTTTGCCACTAACAGTTTAAATTCATTAGAGATTACAAATTACCATTTGTCAGTGTACAATGGTGTATGAAAAAAACTTTTTAATGTTTATGCGTTGGCTTCTTAAAGTCGTTTATTAAATAAATTTGATATTGTAGTAATAAAAATGGTAGCTAAAAATAGGGATAGGAGGGGTAATCTGTGATGTCTTTATGAAATTATTTTTAATATATGTATGTGTGCTTTTAAATGTGTCCTACTCTTCCATATCCTATTACTACAATAGTATGCTAGTGTTAATAAGCTTTCACGTACCTTATGGCTCAGCTATAGAGTGGAAATGCGTTGTCTCGCTGTCCTCCGTTGTTCCTTTGTTGTCTGTAGTGACTGAAAATAGAAGTCTCGTACGACACGCACTTACCGAACTCGTTAGTTTCTAATAGATACCGAAAGTTTTACTTAATAACACGCGTACTACTAGGTGTAATGTATTAATGATCCGGCTCGGAGTGTATTCCTGTTCGTCCAAATAAAGTTACCCTTTTCAGATATGTTTTTAAGCGTTTTTAACTTGGTGATCCTCTAGCATGCTACGTGATAACTAGTCAGAGGACTACACAAATTCGTTTAGAAGATCAGATTACTAGGCTGCGATATTTAGAAGCAACAGACCTTAAGGGTCCATATTTAACCTCACTAAACAGCCGCTACTCTAGTTGTCTTCCCTTACCTAAACACTAATTAATTAACTACTTAACTACTTAAATTTTCCAATTGCTGACGAGAACATCCAAATTCCAAGTGAATAATTTAATTCAAAGGAATTGGATCCCTAGAGCTGCTTTACGCTTCTCAAGAGAATTAAATGAACCAGGTCAGTCTCTCGGACTATGTTAAGATAGCTAAATTAATAGACGAATTATTAAATGAAACAAATAAATAAACACAATGTTTTGTTGTGCATAGGACTTGGAACATACACTGAGTCAAAACCATAAACAATTACGAAAAGAATCGGTTAACTACGCACACCCTGCCTTAACAATTAAATAATTGATAAGTTGCAGACGATTGTAGCTAAACGACTGAGCGGCGACAAGCCCGTCATATTGTCTTATATAGGGAGTAAATGCGTCATTAGCAGGGGGTGAGGTATGAAATGTTTCCTAGGATAGTCATCCAAGCGTACAATTGTATGGTATGAGTCAGCATATGTTATGTGTCCTGTTTATTTTAATACATCCTTTAATACTTTTATAAAATACTGTATTTGAAATAATATATAAATAATTGTGTGCGATATTATTATTTGTGCATATAATTGATCTTATATAATTGACATTTTTGATTAGTGCATATATTGAATTTAGTGCATATAATCTTATCATATATAGGGGTATTTTTAGTGCATATAATTTCATGTATTGTGTGTTGTGTATTATGTATTATGATATTACATGTAAATGATTCAATGAGTACAATATAATCATTACAATATAGTTCCATTCTAAATAATATACCTTCGGTCTAATTTTCCCGACCTAAATCTCTAAAACTGTGCTTCGAAAAGTGAAAAATACAAAAAGTCCAAAGAATGAGCTCGGCGAACTTCGACAATTTAAACTATAAATTGGCAATCCTCATTGCCTTACTAAAACAATAAAGGAAACTATTTAATAAATCACAATTTCATAAATAATCACTTACAATATTATAGTAGATTGATCCGCTATGGCTGTCTAGTTAATAGTAAATAGTTGATACTATGACGGTACGATTATCACTAGTCCGTGGATTTATATACAATTGTATGTATTTTATGGGTCCTCCTATGAAAGAATGTTCGTTACCAAATTCCGTTTCAGAACTTTTTTACCATATGGACACACTACTTGTTTGTGTATATTTTGCATATTTTATGCAATATGGATAGCATTGTACAGAGCAATATACTTGTTTCTTTGTTGTTAAATGAAATTACATTCATATAGGGATATGCACGTTGGTTGTCTAGTGTTTGCAGGTGATTTAGTGTCAGTAAATGAGACAGCTGAATTATTAAGAGTGCAATTAGAGCAATATATGGATGCATTGGAGACCATAATTAGTTTGAGAATAATCACATATAAAACATAATCTACTTTTGAGTTAAATTTCAGTACTTATAGCCTATAAGAGCTTTTAAAAAAAAGATAGAGAACCCATTATGCTCCAATTGCTAGTGGTAAATAGTGTGTGAGAAATGTTTGTCTTTGCGTTCAGTTATGCGATATTATAAAGTTAAAAAAACTTTTTAAAAAAAAAATGATTTTCTCAAAAATAGTAAAAAAAGTGAACTGTTAAAAATGTCAATTACTTTGAAAACAACTAAAAATTAACTACCATTTAAAATAATATTGAACATGTTTAATTTTTTTACTAAAAAGAAAAGCGTAGGCCCTACTCAACAAAGTCCAAATTCATTGAGTTAATTATTACGAAATGTATGTGTCATACACAATTATTAAACTAAATTTAAATTACAAAAGAACTTACAATATAAAACATTATTTAATAAATTTATTAGGGACTTCGTTGAATAGGGCCCACGCTTTTCTTTTTAGTCAAAAATTAAAGATGTTTAACATTATTTAAAATTGTAGTTAATTTTCGGTTGTTTTCAAAGTAATTGATATTTTAAATAAAATATGCTACAATTGATTGGCAAATTGTTCTTGCAATAAAATTATTTTTTGCATTTTAGTTCACTTTTTACTAATTTTTGGAAAAGCGTGTTTTTAAAAAAGTTTTTTTAAATTAATTAATTTTATTTTTTACTTTTTAGTCCTATTAAAGGTACTTAATATTTGGTGAATAGATTACTAAATTCATTTTAGAAAATTTGAAAAAAAAAATGGAGTTTTAGTGAAATGACCCCCACATTTGCCCCCTCCCCCGGCATTTGCGACGTCTGGGTCCCAGTATTTTGATGGAACGTTGTATTATCATCCAAAATGAGTGTCTGGGTTAAGTTTTACTCTTCTATGATATCAGGAAGTGGGTTAAATTCATTTTAGAAGATTTGAAAAAAAAAACATGAAATTTTAGTAAAATGACCTAGGGTCATTTTATTTGACCCTGTGTAGGGCGACCCGGATGTCCAAGTTCCAATATGACTACAGGATATTGTATTGTCATCCGAGATGAGTGTCTGTGCCAAGTTTCAGCCCGCCACGACATCGGGACGTGGGTTAAATTAATTTTGCAAGATTTAAAAAAAAATACCCGTACAAACGTGTTAGCGAGCTAAAGAGAAAAGCATGTAAAAAGGTCACACCATTGTAAAACCAATAGCATCGCTGTTCCGCGTCGAAGCTAAAAACCAAAAACGATTCACATAAATTGTTATTTTTTTATTTTTTCTATAAAATCGTCAATAAGTCGGGTTGGCCATATATTTCTCAAACCTTCGAAATTGTTATCGTCTTTCGAACGGGTAAAAAACAATTCGTATACTTTCATTAATGTAAACAGTGGAAATGGAAACGCACATCGAATCACCCAAGTGTTTTTCCGAAGTAAAAAAATTGTGTTTTTGAGTTAACGTTTAGGCGAGTATTCGATAAGTAATACTTCCATGGAAAATCATATTTTTAAATCTTTGTTTACTTTTGAATGGGCATTTTTAAATTTGATAAAACTTTTTTTATTCGACACTAAAACCAAATGTTTTCGTCATAGTTTAAAGATGGAATGAGTACGGTTAATTTTTTTTAAAAAAAACCAATAAATGTCTTTGTAGGTAGTTGATATTAAAAATGGTCATATGTAGTAAAATGTAGATAAAGAAAAACCAACTTTGTCTTGGTAAAATATTTTATTAAAAATGTCCATTGAAAATAATTAAAACGACGGTGACTTTAAAATTGGTGGGAAAATTAAAAAAAAAATAGGGGCCTCATTTTAGGCCAAGACGAACCAACAAGTCCACTGGTATCAGAATCCCACGGGAGTAATAGGTATATTTTTTTAAATTTTAAAACTATTTAAAATAGAACTCGTATCTCATTAAAAAATTGTCTTACGAAAAAAATAATTTCCGATTTGAAATCGGGAGAAAAAATCTTGTTGAATTCATATGTAACATGATTTTTTGGTATTTTAAATAATTTTAAAATTAAAAAAAAATGAATACCATTTATTGTACACATAGAGAATCCTGAATGTCTCACTTGAAGCTCGGTAGAATTTTACATTACTCCATGACATATATATATATATATATATATATATATATATATATATATATATATATATATATATATACAGGGTGATTCATTAATAATAATAGGACGCTTGTATTTCCTTAGAATAATCGAAATTTTCTAGTATTTTTTTTTTTGAAAACATTTTTGGTTATCATGTTTTGCAATATTATCAAAATACTAAACATTAACCTTTTTTCTATAAATAACGTATATATTTTATTTACTATTTAAACTCAAAATAATTTTCGATACACAAACAGTAGTCAAAGGAAACGAGTATAGTTAAATG